TGAATCACCCCTGGGTCAAGGAAAAAAACAAAGAAATTAAAACTTTCTAGAATTCAATGAAAATGAATGTAAAACATACTAAAATTATCGATCACTTCAAAAGCAGTGCTAAGAGGAAAGTTCATAGCATTAAGTGCCTATATAAAGAACCTGGAGAAATCTCACACTAGCGAGACTTAACAGCACACATGAAAGTTCTAGAACAAAAAGAAGCAAACACACCCAGGAAGAGTAGGCACCAGGAACTAATCAAATTGAGGGCTGAAATCAATAAAATAAAAACAAAGAGAACAATACAAAAAAAATCAATGAGAGAAAAAGTTGGTTCTTTGAGAAAATCAACAAGATAAACAAACCTTTATCCAAACTAACCAAAAGGCAGAGAGAATATCCAAATTCACAAAATAACAACAGACACTGAAGAAATCCAGAGAATCATCAGATCACACTTCAAAAGCTTATACTCCACAAAACTGGAAAATTTAAGGGAAATAAACAATTTTCTGGATAGGCACCATACATCAAAATTAAACCAAGACCAGATAAACAATTTAAATAGACCTATAACCCCTAAGGAAATAGAAATAAGTCATCAAAAGCCTCCAATATATACATTGGGTTTCAAGCAGAATTCTATCAAAATTTCAGTAAGAGCTAGTACCAATACTCCTCAAGTTGCTCCACACAATAGAAACAGAAGTGACATTGCCAAACTCTTTTTTTGAGGCTACAGTTACCCTGATACCCAAACCACACAAAGACATTACAAAGAAAAAGAATTACAGACAAATATCTCTCATGAACATTGATACAAAAATACTCAATAAAATATTAGCAAGCCAAATCCAAGAATACATTAGAAAAATCATCCACCATGATCAAGTAGGCTTCATCTCAGAGATGCAAGGATGGTTCAACATATGACAATCTGTTAATGTAATCCACCATATAAACAAACTGAAAGAAAAAAAAAACACATGATCACCTCACTAGATGCTGGAAAAGCCTTTGACAAAATCCATCACCCTTTCATGATAAAGGTCTTAGAGAAATCAGAGAAACAAATAACATACTTAAACATAATAAAGGCAATATACAGCAAGCCAACATCACACTAAATGGAGAGAAACTCAAAGTGATTCCACTAAGATCAGGGGTTATTTATTGCTCAATTTATTTGTTAACATAACTTCTTCCAAGCAGCCACTTTCTCCGGGTTCCTGGAGTTCAGGAATGTGAGGGTGGCCATGCAATCATAGACCCCATCTAACACCTGAACCTGGAGAAGGTTCCCAGCCAATGTGTCTGTGATGGGAGGCATTTCTACAGTGGCTAATTTAAGAGGAGTTGGGGACTCCATTGGCCTGTGCTGGGAAGTTTTAAATTCTTGACTTTGTACAATCTGCTTGCTGGCTCTGAAAGGGAGGGAGTGGACAAAGTCTCAAGGCCTTGATTTAATTTTGCAGTTGTGTTTGTGTGATCCTGAGGTGAGTGTGGGGGTGGGAGTTGTTTCATGGTATGTCTGGAGGTCTCACTTTTATACAAATATTTCATACATACATTCACACATACACACAACACATGCGTATTAGGAATGCATAGTGAAAGGCTTGTAAAATGGCTCAGTGGTTAAGAGTACTGGCTGACCTTGTAAAAAAGTACTAGGTTTCAATTCCCAGTACACAAATGGTCACAACTGGCAGTTAACTCCAGTTCCAGGGATCTAACCCTCTTCTGGCCTCCCTGGGCACCAGGGTTGCACATGGTACACGTACACATACATGGATAAAACACACACACACTAAATAAAAACTTTTTTAAAAAATAGGAATAAAGGATACATCCTGCGATTAGAAACAGAACTGCCAGAATCCTATGAGAGAAATAACTGGGCCAGATGTGGTGGTGCACACTTTTAAACCCAGCACTAGGGAAGCAGGTCTCTGTGAGTTTGAGGACAACCTGGTCTACATAATGAGTTTCAGGACAGCCAGGAGTATGTATGTATGTATGTATGTATGTATGTATGTATGTACTTTGTGTGTGTATACATATACATACATATACATACATACATACAGACAGACAGACAGACAGAGACCTTGTCTCAAAAGAGGGGGAGGGGCCGTAGCCAGGCATGGCCTCTCCTGCTCTTAACTCTAGTCCATAAGATATGCAGGCACCCTTTAGGCACCTTTTCAAAACATTTACCTCTTTACAAAGTGAAGATAAGGAACAGCACAAGAGTATTTGTAATTTGTTTTGTTTTCTTAGCTATTGAATTTTCAGTCAGATCAATTTGTGATCCAAATACAAAAGGAAACCCTTCTACCTAGCCCAATACACTCCCCAAAAGCAACCTCTGGAAAAAAAGCTAACAGAAACAGCTTATTAACATGTCCAGAGATCAAGTCCAGCTCACAACCCGTGAACCGCTTTCATGTCTTCTGAAACTTTTGTCACAATGACCGATCTTAATTCTAAATATGGCCCATGTTCTATTGCTAGCCAGGACAAACTACAAGAATCATCCCAGACTTTAAAAAATATGGTTCTCTCCTTAACAGGCAGAGGTCATACCAAGTAACAGAAAGAATGATTTAATATCAAGTATCTGGAAATTCAGATCGTAATTGTTACAATGTCTTCTGACAACTTATTGACTGATATTTAAAACTCTAAGGATCTATTTATTAATCATATAAAACCGCACTGTATAACTGATTTATATAGAAAGATGTATTAAGAGATCATACTGCAGCTGCGCTCGCCTTTAATCCAAGCGCTCGGGAAGCAGAGGCAGCTGGTCCTCTTTGAGTACCAGGCCAGCCATGACTACACAAGAAACCCTGTCTCAAACAGCTGAGGGTGGAGCAAGGGAGGGATGGACTGAGATATTATATTGCTAAAATTCGTATGTTCTAGAGATGGTGTAGCCCTGGCTGGCCTGAACTCACTATGTAGACCAGGCTGGCTTTGGAACTAACAGAGATCCGCCTGCCTCTGCTTCCTGAGTGCTGGGATTAAAGGTGTGCGCCACCACATTCAGCAATCTAATTTCAAGATTTTAATTAGCCAGTTTTGCTTGGATAATAAATTTGAACCTTGGCTACGTAAAAAATAAAAAAATTCCAAGGCCTTGATTTTCTTGTCATTCAGTCTTGGCTAAAATTAGAGTTGACTTTAGAGATCACTAATCACAACTACCGCTTTACTGAAGAAGATTAAAAGAGGGGAAAATATTACAAGCACACAGTAAGCCACCACAGTCTGTACACAGAACAGAGCAAAAAGCTGGAAAACAGAGCCAGCGAGACAGCTCAGCCTGTCCAAGCTCTCGCCTCCACCTGATGGCCTGGTAGAAAGATAAAATCGACTCCCATAAATTGTCCGCCAACCCCCCCCCAACATGCGTGTACCACCCCATGGCATTAGCACTGCCCCCAACAAATAAATTGCATTAAAAATAAAATTTTTAAAATCTGGAAAACGTTTGCATGTCAAGTATGAACTATGCATCTATGCGTCTGTGTGTGTGTTGTGTGATGTTTTACTCTTTTGGCTTGGGGGTGGGGCAACCACCCAGCTCCCAAATAAATCACACATGAGGCTTATTCTTAGTTAGGAATGTTCACCCTTAGTTTGGTTTGTTTCTTGTCAGCTTTTCTTAAATTATCCCAAATACCTTTCCCCTCTGGGATTTTTCCTTTTCTTACTCCTGTGTATCTTACTTTCACTCTTCCTCTGTGGCTGGCTGGGTGGCTGTGTCCTGAAGTCTTCCTCCTCCCTGCTCTCTCTTGCTTCTCTTTGTCCTGATTTCTCTGCCCCACCCATCCTTGCTCCTGCCTTGCTATTGGCCGTTCAGCGCATTATTAGGACCATCAGGTGTTTTAGACAGGCAAAGAATCACAGCTTCACAGAGTTAAACAAAGGCACCACAAACAAAAGTTAATGTACCTTAAAGTAATACATATAGTACTTTATATGTGTATAAATATATATTTATATGCATAACACACCTTAAAGTAATACATATATATGTACTAGTTTTGGATGAGATTACCTATTTAGCCAAGTTTCTTCTTATTCCATATCTTGTCATATAAAACTGAGCGATTTGTAAGAGTTCTTTCAATGTTAGCTACAATGATTTGCTATAACTTTCAACTTTGAAATTATACGTGTAATTTTTTTAGTATATGAACTAAACCGATTCAGTTTGTTTACACTAAATTGAATTTAAATTTCTTTACTAAACAACCTATGTCGCTGAGCTTATTAACTCAGTAGTTTTGAAAAATATCTTTAAAATTCTTTTGGAGTTAGTATAAAGCGAATGTTTTCCTGTTTGCATCATCTGTGGTACAAGTAAAATAATGATTATTGCAGACGCTATTTTTAACCATCACGCAGGATCTTGGCTTTCCGTGCTATCCGCTTGGCAGCTGATGGTCAAAGCATATGGAGCTGCCATTACTGGCAATATAAAATACCTTCACTTGTGACTTCAAACTTTTCATTGCCTAATTCATTTTAAATATTGTGTTTCAAGAATAATACACTTAAAGGGCTGTCACAGGATATTTATCCTCGTCTCAAACTGGGTACTCGGAGTTTCCAGTTTGTGAAGGCTCAGGAGGGAAACTTTTCTGAGGTCTCTGCATCAGGGAAAGAGAGGCCTCTCCTGATCAATTCGTTCATCTTTATCTCAAAAACAAACAAACAAAGAGCACAATCAAATCTGCTGGGTTTTTTTTTTTGGTTGCATTGTTCTGGTTTCCTGTTTCCCCCCTTTCAAATTTCACACAGTTTCCTCTCACTTATTTTTATCTTGTGTAAAAATAAGTATTTTGTGTGTGCTGATTCAAATTCTCTATGGGATAACACAGGCATAAATAAGAACAAATACATTTCATACGACAGAAAGGAGCAGTGCTCCCTTTTTGACCCTGAACATGGAGGGTGCTTTCCCACCACACAAGCCCACCCTTCAAGTTTACCTGGCTGTTCTGGGGACGGTCCGGTGGAAGGCTCTCAATCCATGAATGCTCCACAATGGCCCAGTTTCAGAGCGGGTAAGGGTGGGTTTGACTACATGACCAACATAAATCCATGACAGTAAACAAGTACTAAGACACCAATAGAACATTTGAAGAGATTTTGAGTCATCGAAGCCAAAAGTATGTGCCCACCAAAACAAGTGCCAAGAAGCTTTGAAAGACAGAACTGTTCCTCAGCTTCTTCCTTTGCAGGCCGCACACACACAGGCTCTGTCCCTGGAGCAGGCAAGTCTGGGCTTTCCTTATGGCCCCTAAATAAGCGCCCTTGGTGTGTGGAATACAAGAAAAATGCATATACTCCCTGTTCTGGTAAGGTGTTAATTTCGTTTTTTTCACTTATTGACTATAAGAAGTGCATTTCTCAAAACAGAACCGGATTGTGTCTGGAGCCACATGTCACCTGAAACCTGTTCTGTTGTCATTTTTCTGTCACTGCACAAACAGTAGCCATGTATTAACCTGGGTTTCCCCATTTTTTTAAATTTTCATTTTATTTTATGTTTTGCCTGCATGTATGTCTCTACACCATGGGCGTGCCTGGTGCTACGGCCAGAAGAGGGCGTCGGACTCCCCAGACTTACGGACAGTCAAGCAGATGGGGCGAATCAACCCAGGTGCTCTATAGAACTCTGTTCTTAACCACTGAGCCCTCTCTCCAGTCCTTATCTGGTTTTTCTGTTGCAAATCTCAGCGGCACTCTAGAAATAACTTTACCAGTCTACCTTAAAATGGTAACTTAATTTCTACCTTCAGAACAAGATTGGAACTCAGGCTGTGAAACATTAGCCAATCACTTCTCTTGATTCCTGCTCAATATCCTGTGTCTTGTTAAGCGGTTCAAAACCTCTTAGATTTGATAATGCTCTCTCTACAATCCCGTAAAAAGCTTTACAAACATTTCTGGGGTGTCAAATGCAAAAACTTCATCCTTTTCCATCTACAGACAGGGCTCTGAGTTGTTGCAAAGAATGCCAGTTCACCTACTTTGGAAGGTTGGAGCCAGAACCAGACCAAGGTCCCCAGCTTTGTTTTAGCATCTGCAGAACTCCTGGTCCCGTTAAAGTTGCAAATACTGTGGTGACCCGAGACCACCGGACTTCGTAGGAATTGGGGGTTTTCAGAAATGGCTCGGGAAACCCCGGTGAAAGACAGGTTGTGCAGGTCAGGTGTGCGGTCCAGCCTCACAACCGGTACCACGGGGAGCAGTCGGTAAAACAGGAAGGAGCAGTCGGGTGTGCCGGTCTTTAGTTAACCCGGCACTCCCCCACCTCCGACCCGGGCGGCCTCAGTTTACCTCGACCGTGTAGAACTAGGAGGGCAACGAGCTGCGTACTAGCCCCCCCTCCTCTCGTCCCGCTGGCGACCGGACGAATCCCGGCCGGGCCTGGGCGGGTCAGAAGCCGCACGAACGCCCCCGGGCGCCCCGCAAGCCGCTGGGAGGCGGGGCGCGACGGCGGCGAGGGTGTCGTGCGTTCGGCGGGCCTCAGAGCGGCAGTCTGGGCCCGCGGCCTGCACTCTCGAGCGGGCCGGCTCAGTCCACGCCGGCCGCGAACGTGTCTCCCGGTGACGCAGCCGCGGGTGGGGAACGTGGTGCGGCGGCGGCGGCAGCGGCAGCGGCGACTGTGCGCACGGCCGTCTTCGAGAGGACGCGGGTCTCCGCCGCGGCGCTCGCTCGCTCGCTCGCTCGGCCGGGCACGGGCGGCCCCTCGGGTGCGGACGGCTCGGGGCCTGGCGGGGCCAGGGAGGCCCGGAGGCCGCCGGGGTCGCGGCCCGTGACGCCCCCGCGCTCGCTCTCGCGGGTGCAGGCGCAGCTGCGCGCCGAGGCTCCATGTTGGGAAGCGCCGCGCGTCCTCGTTAGCGGGATCCGGGCGCCGCGGGCAGAGCCCCGGGCTGGGCGCTGCGAAGATGGAGGCCCCGCTGCGGCCTGCCGCCGACATCCTGAGGCGGAACCCGCAGCACGACTACGAGCTGGTGCAGAGGGTCGGCAGCGGCACCTACGGGGATGTGTACAAGGTGAGGCCCGGGCCCGGCCTGCGAGAGGGGGGCGCCCCTGGGATGCGCCGGACCGCAGCGTCCGGCCGGGAAGCGGCCCGGACCCCGCGGCACCGTTCCGAGCACCCTGGGTTCCCCGCTGGTTCTATAGTACTGCCGACGGGCACAGCTAACAGCACCTTCCAAACCACCGCTGAGCTTTTTTGTGGTTTTTAAGGCGTGTGTTTGGTATTGAAGTGAGTCTGAGGGATGTTCTGGTGTTAGCTGGAAAAAATGCTTCGCGGAAGGCGGTAGACGGGAGAGAATATTGCAAATCCAGACGCTTGCATTCTAAATTATTGTTATGAGCGAGCTTGACTTTAAAAAGCTCTGTGGAAGCTGGCTTTGAAGTGTGAACTGTAAGCATTTTTCTCGAGTAAAATGATACGTGTGTAACATGACGGCCTGTAGGAAGATGTTTTTAGAGACCCGTGAGTTGGCTCAGCAGGTAAAGGCGCTTGCTGCCAAGCCTTTCGATACCGGATCGGTCCCCGGATTCTCCCGGTGGAAGCAAGTCGTCCTCTGACCTCTACACGCAAGTGTCGCCCCCTCCCCCCGCCAACACACTCACACACAAACCTAGTAAATAAGTGAAATGTAATTAAATTTAAACAAATTTAGAGAAAGATGTTTTTCACCTGGCAGAAGTTTAGGCGTTTGTGCCTGGTTGATAATAAGAAATATAATTACTTACTGGGTTTTCCTACTCCTGTAATTCCTCTCGGGGATTTTGTACCATTCCATAATCCCGAGTGGTTAGGAGCTGCTGTCATTTTAGTGCGCTTTTATATCAAGATAAATAATAATAAATTTGTAATTTGCCATTACAACAACAAAAGCCATGCCATTGCAAAGCACACCAGTTTCTTAAGTCTCCCATGTTTTTTGAAGGGCTCAGAAGGAAAAGTCTGTCCAAGATTCCCTTATGACTTTTGTTCTTTGTCCCCAAAGGGCAGAATTACTGCAGTTCCTGATGGGTATTAAGGACAAGTCTCTTTTTGCAGCACTTTAATATTTTGACCTGTGTATCAGTCTGTTCCAAACAGCAATCTCCACGTAGCCCAAATGGCCTTGTTTCGTGAGTGAGGAATCGCTTGCTTCCCCTGAGGTCCGTTGACTTGCACAGGTGGTCCTAAGCAAGGAAAGCATCTTTCTTCTCTACATGTTTCTGACTGAGTTTGTTAGTAGTACCTCAGAGTGTTATCAGGATACCGCTAGCTCTGGATTCTGAGGTGAGGGCTCTCTGGCTAGACTTTTTACCCCTTAAAACTAGGCCCTTGAGTCTAACCAAGCACTGTTCTAGGTACTAGACTGCCCCAACAGTGAGCGGGACCCTGACTCTGGCCTTGAATACCTTTGATATGCAAGACGACAATGAAATCTCCTTCCTCGTGTGAGTTAGGGTAGTTGTGCACACTGGGTTAACTGAACATTTAGGAAACGCTTGCTCTTTGAGAAATAGAAACTCCTGTTTGCTTTCTCAGGCCCATTCTTAAGTCATCTTTGTCTGTGATTAGTTAGACCAGTTCAGTTTGTGGTCATTTTAGTTCTTGCTTCACCCCCACCCCTCCCCCTACTACACAAAATTTAAAGGGAATATATTCCCCACACCGATCTTGCCAAGACTTCTGCGTTTTTCCTTACAGAGTAGCAGCCAGGGCAACTCTTCTGGAAGGCTTGTATTGTTGTGTTAAAAGGTCAGCTGCCTGTCTGCTTCTTCTCCAGCTGCCTCCTGACCTGCAGCTCCTTCCACAACTCATCAGACAGTCGGAGGCTAAATACTTACACACACAAACACACACACACACACAGAGCCCCGCCTCCCACCTTTCCCAGCATGCTCACGTCGTAAGTATTCTCCTCATTTACTAGATCAGCCTCTGCATCCCGAACAGCCATTAGACATTCCCCTGCCCCTTCTGCTTGGTTGTGCTCTAGTTACCTGGGATCACCTGGCTTTCCCACTCCACCTGTTGCCACCACTGCTGCCCAGGAAAGCTTTACTCCTTACTAGTCAGCCCCAGCCCCTCTCCCTGACCCCTGACCTCACTCACCACTCTCCTTTCCCATTCTGCTCAAACCACACTGGCTTGCTCGCTATTCCTTAAACAATAAACATCTTCCGACTTTGGAGTCTTTGTTCTTGGTGCTTCCTCTGCTCAGTATCTTTACCCAGACGGTAAATGTCTTGCTTCCTTCCTTTCGGAATACCAGACCATCTTTGTACTTACTTCTGCCAGACACAGGGTTTGACTTCTTTTTCTGGTCTGTTTGATCCAATGAGACACTTCACACAGCCGCCCCCCCCCCCCTTTTGATTTAGCTTAACACCTAGAATTCGACCAGACACAGAGTGCGTGATCCCTAAAAGGTTGACAAAGGAATAAATGACTCTAGGCGACAGAGTCTCAGCACTTAATTTTGACCTTACAGCAGTGTGCACATAACCCTCTGTGTATTCCTGCACTGCTCTTTATGATAGCTGCATGTCTGTTTTCTTTACAAATTTCCATAACTTGTGTTTCCTGGGAAAGCATCTCTGAAGAGCTGTTTCATAGCATGTTTATCATCAGTGATGTAAGCCCTGTGGAATTTTGGGAGTTTATACTTACTCCTTCATATGCCTAGACCATGAAACTGTGGGATCTTTTAAGGCAGAGTGAGTGTGTTGTGATCGTGTATTTTTAAGAAACTGAAAATCCTCGGGAGCCCTAAAAGTGTTTTCCATTCAGGAGGGAGGCTAGTAAAATAATCACAGTAAGAAATAGTGTAGTCTCTTCTACCACGTACCTCGCCCTAGGTTCTCTTTATCCCTGAGCTATAGTATGAAGCAATAACTTTAAAAAGCCTTGAGGTTCTTTGTGAATCCCAGTCACATCCTGCAATCACACAGCATTTGTTGGAGCCTCCTGCCTTTCCTAGAACTCCCCAGGAGGTGCTCACTCCATCCTGAATGGCTGTTCCCTGCTTGAAAGAAGAGGAATATAAAGATTCAGATAGATGCAGGAAGTCTTTGAGGGCAGAGCAGGAAGTGGTGCTGGGCAAACAGCAGAGTGGAGAGTGTGGTGGATGATGGATGAAGGACCAAGTTCCAGCTAGGCGGATCCCGTCTGTAAAATTGAACACTTGCTAACAGGAAGGGGAGCTCTGATGATAAAGAGTCTCCCACCTTCTGTCCACAAGTGATTTGGGCACACAGAGCGGTCGTCGGGTCATTATCATGGTTCACAGCTAGCAGTGGGAGCCTTCTACCCTTTTGTACCAAAATTGCTTCCAGTTTACTTCCCCGAGAAATTCTAAGATCTTTTCAGCTTTTATAGGCTGTAAATTTAGAGTAGAGTACCCATGTACTTGTTTTAAACTCTTATTAACTCTTTGGTTTATGTAAGTGTGTAAGTGTGACGTGTTTTGTTCCAGGACATCTACAGCAAACAGACTGGTTCTTAGGAAATATTTGGTTAGTGATGTTAGTGGTAGTAGATTGCCTAGATATAATAAATACTTTTAATAATATAGCCCCGCCTCCAGCCTTTTAAATGTTTTTAAATGCATCTGTTTGTTACTTACATTGTGTTGTAATGCCAGTCATGATATGGCATGTGTTTGGAGTGACCAAACTTTTTCTCTAAAATTATTATTTTTAAAAGGATTCATTGAATGAATCTTTAAGTTTTACATTAGTTATTTTCAATTTTTAAGTTTCTTTTGCCATTATAAATGACATAATTTGTGTAGAAATCTTTGTCATATGGCCTTACCATTTCTGTGGATTCTTCTGGAAGGAAGCTAGATGTGTTAGATCTGCAGTAATGAATCCCTCTTTTCTTCAAGGCCTCCCCCAAGTCAACAGGCAGGCTATTAGAATGGCTTTAGGCATTTTGAAACTACGCTAGGATCCCATTGTAAACAATCAGCTTAGTCCATCCTAGTGACAGAGCTGCCGACTCTGTGCCAGGGTCTGCAGATGCAGGGCCTGGGGAGGAGAAAGTACACTGTCAAAAGAAGTGTGTAATTTAGTCAGGAAAAGAGACGTGCAATCATCATAATTTGGTAAGTGCCATAATAGATATGTAAGAAATACTCAACTCTGTCTTTTATAGGGATGGGGCAGGGTGGTCAACTGGGGAAGAGTAACAAAAGAAGGATCAGTAACTAGAGTTTTGGGTTGTTTTTTTTTTGTTGTTGTTGTTGTTGTTATTGTTGTG